TCTCCAATGTGGGGAGGAGAATGGGAAACTCGTCCGAATTGAGATTAGACTACGCGTGTAAGCTTAAGAGCAATTTTCTCGGTTGGAAGGGGATGCTGTGCGACCGGGATTGCGCTGTTTCAATACTGGGGATGATGAGCAAAATACCACGTCAAAATTCTGAGTTGTCAAGTTTTGCCTATCCACTGCCTTTAACGCTCGAACTCTGTCTATGTATCTTGCAACTTCGGTTACTTATCAATGGCATCAAATCATAATCGCAACAACTTAACTAGAACACTATTTTATGCCAGCAACATTATCGTCACAAGGGGTGGTTACCAGGAACACCCCTCGCCTTTTATACCATCTCCGAACTGGCTTTCAACTGGAGCTGTAATCATGGCGTTTATAAGGAAATGTCACTTACGTTTTCCACTCAAGGCTCTGAAAAAAGAAGACGCGGCCGAAATACTGGCCGCGAATAAAGGGTGGCCACTATCTTGGTCGCTTAGTCAGTTGATGCGTGTGTATCTTCTGTGCCCCACTGCGAGATTTCCTTAGGCACATCTCTCGCGCCCTCGGCTTGCTGCCTTTCTCTCCTTTCAACATGTTAACTTCAGCAAATCTATAGTGCTTATTTTTCACCTCGACTGAACATGAGCAACAACACAAGTTTGAGCTACGGGGTGAGGGGGTAAGCGTTGAAACGCAGTGGTAAGTGGACATGCCGATTGCAAAAACATATAGGGATCAAGGTGATGTTGTATAGGAGCAGAAAAGGTGATTTCTTCAAACTGTATTGACAGGGTCAGGCAAAACCGGCAAAGGCACATGTTCGTTACCTTGACTTCAAGTTCATTTTTGTTGACCACAGCAAGGGCATACGAGGTTTTCCAGCCTTGAACGGGTGTCACTGGCTTCAAGTAGATGCCGACGGACTTGCTCTGTAATCTTTGCTTTTGCGATTGCTCAAGAAAACATTTGTCGTTGAATGCAGCACTGCTTAGCTTACCTTTTTGACCAGCTTCCCCATGATACCCATTTGATCTTGATCTACTGCTATTACATCGCGATTGAGGAGCACTTTTTTAAATTCCGGTTTCAACTTTCTGAGATCATTAGACATAATTAGCGGTGCAGACCAGATGGACCTGAACGTTAAACTATCTCAAAACCAGAGATGCTAGACAGTGTATAGCCTACCATAGCGTCATTTGGAGCATAGCTTGGTCGATGGTAACATTTGGTAGACCAACGACAAGCTGGAATTGCATAAATATGACCCACTAGTTTGACAATGATAAGGAGTTGTTGGGTTGCCGACAACGTTTGCGATCATACATGAAAATTTGGCGTTCATGGCAATTTTTGTGCGGGACGCTGACGGAACGGATGTTGCACCCACATTCCATATCTGCTTCTACCATCTACCCCTGCTGCGTTTCTGTCAGCGCTTGTCAAGGAGTTTTTAGAGGCAGGATGGACTTTATTTTTGGGACAAAAAGCAAAGCGGGTAGCGTCAAACATGCTATGCACGCATACAAGCTACACCCCGACGACTACCGCTTCAGAAACAAGTAGGACTGACATGCGTCACCGTTTCAGAAAAAGGCACAAAGCTAAAATAAACAAATGGCTGTCCACAGCGCAGAAACAAGCATACGACATCAAATTTGAAATTTATATTCAAGAAATTTACAGAAATACCACGTAAAAAGTTTGAAAAAATATGTGATTTTTTTTATTTTTTATTTTATTTATTACGCCAAAGGCGCGCTACAACAGTGATGTGAATTAATCCTTCTGCGAGAGAAAACATGACGACTGATTCATGCCGTTTTTTAAACCCATGTTCAAATCAGTTAGAATAAAGATAGACAAATGCTTGAAATAGTATCCGATGCAGAATTTCTTCCTCTTTCTAGCAGCCATGTTTTGGTTTGGATTTCCTTCGATGTCGCTCGAAT